TCACTAGGTCTGTCTTCCTCCGCATTTCACCCAAATCTGTGTTCTCCTGCTTCTAGGTTCATTTAAATTCTCTTCCTTTTTATGTTTCAGTCGTGGGTTCTTGCTTATCGTGATTTTCTGATTTTGTTGTGTTGGAAGGACCGAGTATGACAGAGGAGTCAACACTTTTTCTCCTGAATTAAGGAAGGCTATTTCAAGTCGAGTATGCCATTGAAGCTATCAAGGTAACTCTTCTATTAGCTTCTCTGAGTAGTATCTACTTGACTGCTTAGTAGTTTTTACATTTAGGCTAGGACTTAGAATAATTTTCAACTGTGTATGCATGTTATAACTCGAGGACCTCTTGCCAGTGAAGTTATAGAGTATAGATAGTAGAAGAATCGAGAGACACGTTGAAGAAATGGTTCTGAATTGCTTGGACTATTGCAGAATTTTGCTCATATTTACTTGCTTACTCGCTTAGTAGTGGTATACTGAGGTTTGGACTTGGAATAAAATTCCCCTGTGTGTGCATATTGTAACTTGTTGCCACTGAAGCAATAGAGAATATATAGTAGAAGCATTGAGTGATGTTGAAGAAAGGGTTCTTCCCTGGAAACTGATTTCTGATTACCTAGACTATTGCAGAATTTGGATCATATTCCCTTGTTTACTGGCTGTATTCTTGAGTTTCTGATTAGTGCTGAATTATTGTAGCTTGGTTCTACTGCAATTGGAGTGAAGACAAAAGATGGAGTTGTGCTTGCTGTCGAGAAGCGTATCACTTCTCCTTTGCTGGTTTGTCTGTTTACAGTTGAATTCTCGGTTTCTCAAAGTTTTGATTTGTTGACATTTATTTGACTTAACAAATTGATTACCTAGTGCTGGGGTATCGATGATATCTGAAGATAGAATGAGTATAAGTTTTCTTTGTTACTTATGGTGATATATAAGATTCTCAGTTTATGTTAAACTACTTACATTTAAATGTTCAGGAGCCGAGCAGTGTGGAGAAGATCATGGAAATTGATTACCATATTGGCTGTGCTATGTGCGGTTTGATTGCTGATGCACGTACACTTGTTGAGCATGCAAGAGTTGAGACTCAAGTGAGATTTCTCTTTCTCTGATATTGTTTTCCTTCTAGCTGAAAAGACCTTTGATGTTATTGTTTTTCTGCTGTACAGAACCACAGGTTCTCGTACGGTGAGCCAATGAATGTGGAGTCCACAACCCAAGCGCTGTGTGATCTGGCTTTACGGTTTGGTGAAGGGGATGAAGAATCAATGGTAATAGCTGATAATCGAATTGGAATCTCTAGTTGCTTTCAGATATAGCTTGGCTTAGGCTGTATGATTGAAATCATTTTTTCCAGAACAAAAATCATTGAAATCCTTATTTGACATGACTCATGAGTACTGATTTTCTTTCTTAATCAATGTTATTACAGTCTCGGCCATTTGGAGTATCCCTTCTCATTGCTGGTCATGATGAAAATGGACCAAGCTTGTAAGTATTTATTCACTGAAGCTTTGCTCAACTGATATGATTCACTTGCTGGTAAGTTAGTTGATCAAATTTCTCAAACGACTCGGTCTTGTTACAGGTACTACACTGACCCGTCTGGAACATTTTGGCAGTGCAATGCTAAAGCAATTGGTTCTGGGTCAGAAGGAGCTGATAGTTCTCTTCAAGAGCAATTCAACAAAGTAACTTGAGAACTTGTACAATAACTAATTCCTCAACCTGATTGGACCATTTACTCCTTTCTTAACTTTGATGCAGGATCTGTCACTTGAAGAAGCTGAGAAGATCGCTGTATCCATCCTCAAGCAAGTTATGGAAGAAAAGGTATAACCTTTTCAATCCAAAACTTATACAATTTACAGAAGTGATTGATCACATCTAAATGGGTCTGGTCTATGTAGGTCACTCCAAACAATGTAGACATTGCCAAGGTAGCTCCAGCGTACCATCTCTACACTCCAGAAGAAGTTGAAGCAGTCATTAGTCGTCTTTGAGGAACATTCTCGATACGGGTGATGTATCGTATCTTATCCCCTTTGTCTACTTCGAATTTTTAGGAACCAAATGACTTTCTTTCATTTTGTCTGTGAGAGTGATGTTTCATGAGACAGTTTAGTCTGTTGTGGAAGAGAATCTTTTATCACCCATGTCGTTCAATAACCTCTCGGTTGGGGGTTTGTGGCTCAAAATTTTCCATATTTAGTACTTGTTTTGCTTACTTTTTTGGTCTTAAGCAAGACAATGGGTCCAGATCCGAACCAAAAAAAATAAATTTCAAATCCGATCAGATCTCTAAAGATATCAGAATAGATCCGCTAACATTGTAATTTAGACACTAGCATGATACCTGCGCAATTATGAATTTAGAAAATTATTTAAAAAAATATACAGTATGGAACAATAAGTTTTATATTTTTGATTGAATTAATATTTTTAACTCTTAAATTTTTTTTAAAACTTTTTTTGATTAGTTACATAATTTATTTATTTATGAGCTGAATCTATTTAAAATATTTTTGGTAAAAAAATTATTTATCGCAGAAGAACCTAACGTTAGGGCTACGAATCTCATACCTACTATTTAATTACAATGAAATTATATCAGTTCGTAATTTAAAAGTTAATTATGATTGTGAAAATTTACGTTCACGTATCAATTTTAATTATCATCAATATTTTTTGAGATAATTGGCTAAAGTGCTTTATTTGGCACCTATAATTAGAGAATTGCCCATGATGTGACAATCACTTTTCTTTGGACCATTTTGCACTTCTCTACACTCTCTCTCCTCTCTTTGACATCTCCCCTCTTTTTTTTTCTCTTCAATCCCTAATTATTTTACAAATCTCTATCATTCTATATACAATTAAATTTTAAATTTCATTATTTTTCATAAGTGGCTTTGAATCCTCAATTTTGACCTTTTTTTTTCTCTCCAATCCCTAATTATTTTACAAATCTCTATCATTCTATATACAATTAAATTTTAAATTTCATTATTTTTTTCATAAGTGGCTTTGAATCCTCAATTTTTTGATGATATCAATTTTCTGGGTTTTAGATTCGACGTCGTGTTAGCGGTTAACAAATATTGTAGACGTTAACAGAAGTGTTAGGTGTTNTCCAATCCCTAATTATTTTACAAATCTCTATCATTCTATATACAATTAAATTTTAAATTTCATTATTTTTTTCATAAGTGGCTTTGAATCCTCAATTTTTTGATGATATCAATTTTCTGGGTTTTAGATTCGACGTCGTGTTAGCGGTTAACAAATATTGTAGACGTTAACAGAAGTGTTAGGTGTTAACAATTATTTTACGCTTCGCGTTAATAAATGTGTTGGCTGTTAACAAATATTGTAGACGTTAACAGAAGTGTTATATGTTAACAAATGTTTTTACGCTTCGTGTTAATGAGAGGAAAGAGAAAGGGCATTCTCGGCATTTCCTTGTCAAATGGTTGTGTCAGTGTTCTTCATGTCCGATCAATGGTATTTTGTTAATTTAAGCTTCAAATATGGGTAGTTCACTAAATCACTCATATTTTTTTTTCATTTTGGTTATTACTCAGTATAAATATTGATTTTTGAGTTTATTCTCATTTCATTCTTTTGTTTTGAACTTAAATTTAGTAAATAAGATTTAAATTTGTTCAGAATAAATATTTTATATTTATTACTTCTTTATTTTTTTGCATATTATGAAATAATAATATAATAATTGTATATTAAACAACTAAGAAATCAAATACTATTATATAAGAAATTGGCGTGAGCATATAAATCAAACGACCGCTTTTGTCTATTCGCAATCATTTTAGAGTAAATAAATCAAAACAATCAATCAACATAGATATGTAAACTAATTTTAATATGTACATTTATTAAATGAGGTTTCTACTAATATGTTTTTATCATTATTTGCATATTTATATAACAAAATTTTACACTAACATTTTTTTAATGTGGAATGTTTAGTGGTTTCAATAATTTATAATCATTTGAAAAAAAAATGAAAATTGCAAAACTAAAATATTAAATTTTCAATATATGTTCAATGCAAATATCAAAATAAAAATATGTATTTTCATATGATGTATAGTTTAATTTAAATGAAATATATATATATATATATATATATATATATATATATAAACACCTATTAAAATAAAATTATTTCTCCATATGATTTTATAATCATTGTATCTTATTATAAAAAAAATTAAACCTTGGTCACCAAAGTTTATGTATAACTTTTAACAATTTTAATAATTTATAATCGTTTTAAAAAATTCAAATTACAACATATATAAAAAATCTAAAATTATAATGATATGTTAATGTAATTTTGTAATTTATTTTAATAATAAAAAATTAAACAAATGATAGAAAGTATACAAATTGTTTGTAAATATTTATTATTTAAAATCATGAACTGCTATATATATATTAATCACATTAGATAATTTCGTAGGTTTTATTGAATGAAATAATATATAATAAATTTCAGTTTGATAAATGAATGGTCCATAATAGACCTACTATATAATATAACATTTCTTTATCAATTTAATTTTGGACTAACATATTTCTCAATTGATTCTCATGTCGCCACGTAAGCAAAATTAGCAATTCAATTCCGTGACAACTCAACATGATATTTTTTTTAATTAGTACAAACTACATGTTATAACTTTTTAAATGTTTCTTTATTAATATACAGGGGATTTGAGTATTGTCCTAATTTGTGTTTAAAGAAAAAAAAAAGACTATTGTTCTAACCCACCTATATTTATTTAGTTAAAATAATCCACCTATATTTGAAAACCTAAACTTTGTTGTAACTTCTATCTCATTTAGAACATTTTCAACCTGTTTTTATATTTTCCTTTTAAAAAAATAGTATCACATACACTTAAATTCGAATAGATATTTGAAAATATAAATATTTTTTAGGACTTCTATCTCATTCAGAACATTTTCAATCTATTTTAATAGTTTCCTTTAAAAACAAGTTTGGCATACATAAGAACAAAATCCAATGTAGAAAATCGTTATGCTTTGAAATTTGACTAAATAGAGTTGTTTTGAGCCGTTGACAAAAAAAAAGTTGTTTTGAGCTTTGATCAAAAACAAAAAAAAAAAGTTGTTTTGAGCTAATATGCATAAATTGTAATTTTGCTTTAGATATTACGGATATTCGGGACACAAACAGGAGCGAGTTTGGATCTGGATCATAAATGTTATAAATGAATTTGACTTAAAATTATACAGTATAAAATTCGAATGTGAGATGGGAGGTTAAACTTGAAAACTCGACATGAATCCAAAAGCGCACGCTTTATCACTCAGTAACCTCTCCGATTATCACTCTTCAACGATTATCTCATATTACAAAAGACGCAAAATAGAACTACGTCGGACAAAACAGAGTCACAGACCTTACAACCGTGTCAAACAAATAAAAAAGTAGATCGAAATCGGATGTTTATGTTTTCATATAAAGAAAATCTATAAATCCAAGTATCATAATGTCACTAAATTAAGACAGCTGATGAGTCACTCCCGTCGCCGGTATCCAATCACCGCCATGTAAAAGCGTAGCCACCG